CTGGGAGTTGAAGTCCACTCATCTTAAAGTGGCCAAGTTTGGACAACACTGGCATAAGGGGTAGAGCTTTCACAGGGATGTCACAACTAGAGATGGGAAGGCCTAGAAAAAAGCCAGAAAAAGTGGGGAAAAAACAGGTTTTTTTCTGTTTTTTTCCAAAGCTGTTTTTTTTTTCAGAAAAATTGGGAAAAAAAGTGTGTGGAATATATTCTTTTCCAACGATAAATAATATATCTATGACATGGTATTCGAACTATATAACATGAAGACCTTAAGGAAAGATTGCTGAGACTTTTTGTAAAGTCTTCAATTATTGCAAGTTCTCTCAGCTGAAGACAAGCAAATCCTGGAATAGAATTCAAATAACACTGGACTTCTCAATGCAGTTCTCAAACAGGAGAAATATGCATTTGTGCCACGAGGGGGCACTGCATGGAAAAGCCTCCAGTTTAGTTTCCTGGTGTACCTCGGACCTCCTACAGGTGACTAATTGCTGGTGTACAGGAGATGATGGTTTCTGTCCTCCTCTCAGGCCTTAACTGACAGGTGAGAGGGTGAATTTGTCTGACAAATTAGTTTCTCTTTTGTGACCCTTAAATGATACCTATTAATGTTCTCCACCATCACAGCACAATGTTTACCTATAGTCTGGTCAGTAAACTGGTTTTTCTTTTCCTCCTAAAATGGTGAGACCAACATCTAGAGTTTGGAAACATTTCCACACTGCACTTTCTGCTGAGAGCAAAGCTGCAATTCGCAAATATTGTGAGAAGAAATATTCTTTTCCAAATGCTACAAGGATGACAAAACACATTCTTGCATGCCAGAGGTGCCCTAAAGACATTAAAAAACACTTTATGGAATTAAATGATGAGGACCGGAAGGAAAGTGCAAGTAGCTTTTCCTTCCAGCGTTCTAGTTCCAGAAACACTGTTTCTGCTGCTTCTGGATCATTACCAAGTGTTTCTTCACCAGCAGCATCTTCAAGTGAAGAAGTGCTGAAAACCACTGCCTCGCAAAAATGCACCATACCTTCATTTATAGATAAAATGACACCTGAAAATCAGGAGAAAATTGATCATGCCCTTGCAAGAGCAATATATGCGTCTGGATCAGCATTGTCAATAACTGAAAATGCATATTGGCCGGAAGCTTTTAAATTATTACGACCATCATATCATTTGCCAAGCAGACATTCCTTGAGCAAACCTCTTTTGGAGTCAGAATGTGAGTGTGTGATGGAATCTGTACAAGAAAATATCAGTGAAGCACTTTGTCTTGGAGTACTTACAGATGGA